GGGGGAGGTTCCGAACCCCCCCCCCCGTTTCCAGCGCCAAGGGGGGGAGGGGGGGGGGGGGGATCCGGATCCCCCCCCATCAAGGGAGGGAGGGGGGGGAGGGGGGGGGGGGTCCGGACCCCCCCCCCTTCAAGGGGGGGAGGGGGGGGGGGTTCTGGACCCCCCCCCCTTATTCAGGGGGATCCACTGGCGCACTTTCGTCATCATCATCATCATCATCATCATCATCATCATCATCATCATCATCATCATCATCATCATCATCATCATCATCATCATTGTCATCATGATCATCAGCATCATCGTCGGCAGCAGCAGCACCAGCATCATCATTATCACCATCATCACCAGCATCATCATCACCAACATCAGCATCAGCATCAGCATCATCACCAGCATTATCAGCACCATCATCGTTAGCAGCATCATCATCACCGCCGCCACCACCATCATCATCACCATCATGAGCATCAGCATCAACATCATCATCAACATCATCATTACCATCGTCATCATCATCATCATCATCATCATCATCATCATCATCATCATCATCGTCACCAGTATCAGCATCGCCAGCATCATCATCACCAACATCAGCATCATCATCGTTAGCATCATCATCACCACCACCACCATCACAATCATTATCATCAGCACATCAGCATCATCCTCATCCTCATCCTCATCCTCATCCTCATCCTCATCCTCATCATCATCATCATCATCATCATCATCATCATCATCCTCAACATCCTCCGCCTTCTCCTCTTTCGCCCACTCGCCACTCTACCTTTTAGGAAACTCCGCCATGTCGTACCACCAGACGTGTCGTTAGGACGGGCCTGGCATGTCGCCTGCGACTCCCGCGCAATGTGTGATCCCGAGGCTTAAACATTCCAACACTACACGGGTTGGACACCACATACATGTGTCACGGAATCGGTTCAGGAGCATGTGCGCTAAGAGGAACATACAAATGTCTTTTTCTAATGCAGACTGGCGTTTCCGGCACTGACAGTGCAGGCGTGACGAGCCCAAGAACTGACTGGGGACCGGCTTTCTGGAGCTCCATGAATAATCACGAGGCCTGGCGGGCGCAAGGAGCCTTCACAAGAGGAGGAGGAGGAGGAGGAGGAGGAGGAGGAGGAGGAGGAGCAGGAGCAGGAGGAGCAGGAGGAGCAGGAGGAGGAGGAGGAGGAGGAAGAGGAGCAGGAGAAGGAGGAGCAGGAGGAGGAGGACTGAAGCAATGGCCGAGCACCCTGGCCGCCCGATCGCCGGAGGACTGCGCGCGAGCCCTCGGAGTGCTCTTCCAATGAGCTTCCCGTCGGGCCCGTGGAGTGCACGGACTCCAATTCGTAGCACGCAGCACGCAACATGGAGGGACGAGGAGGAGGAGGAGGAGGAGGAGGAGGAGGAGAAGGAGGGAGGAGGAAGAAGAGGAGTGAGCGGGGGGAGAGCACGAGCCAACGCACAAGATCCCGCAGTCCACGCCTTTCAGCGGTGGAGGGGACAAACTGAAGGTCAGCAGAAGTTCATGAAACAGAGCATGCAACGAGGGCAGCGGAGAAAGCGGCGCTGGCGGCATGCAAGAGAGGAGAGGAGAAAAACGGGCAGGGGCATGAACCACCAGCCCTCGGCGAACGAGAAACTACAGCGTTCAGGGGGGACCGAGGACGAGACAGGCGGAGGAGGCAGAGGGGGAGGAGAAGAGGGGAGGGGAGAGCAAGGGAGCACATCCACACTGTTGGCCTCACTCGCACTGCTCCAACCGACGTACTGCTCCTAGCCGCGCAGCTCGCGGCACAGCACTCCCCAACTCGGGAGGCAAGAATCGTGCTGCGGCTCCCAATTGCGCTGCCTTGCGTCGTGCGGCTCGTCGCCTTCGTGCTGCACTAAGACGCGGTGAACGCAACCCTGCACTCTCACCACCTGGATGCCAGTCGTGCTGGTGCTGAGACAGACCGCCACACGCTACAGGGCGAAAACCGTGACACACTGACCGCAAGAAGCCATTAAGGACCCCCCCTGGGGTTATCATTAGCACAGCACCGTAATTAAATAATTCTGGGGGGGCGTTTTCGCCGAACGATCTGATTAGCACCGCGCAAATGGAACGACAATAAAAGATTCCCGCGCCCGGGCTCGGGTGGTATCCTAATTGGAGTTGGAATAATAAGAAGGATAAGAGTGAAATACGAGTAAAAATGATAAAGGATAAGCGTAAGAGTAAACAACTAATAATATTGCGAGAATGTCTCAGGCGGTTTGCTTGTTTCGGCGAGCAGACTCGTCTGCGTTCACACAAAAGGTGCGAGGTGCCAAAGTAACGCTTCTGGGGTGCCGGGTGCGTTATACGTTTGCCGGAGAGGGGGGGGGTCTTAATTGCTTCTTGAGGTGAACGTAGGTCATCATGCGAGCTGCCGCACCCAGTCCGTGACGCGCTACAACATGGCTGAATCTACGGCACACTCACTCTGCTGGGTCGTGCTGGATTGCAACGTGCTGCTCAATTCCGCTGGGGAAGACGACGTGGTATCACGTGATTCCTTCGTGCTGTGCAGCGGCGAGGTGTTCAGCTCCGTCGTTGTGGACACCATGGGAGTGATCGAATCCATAGAGCGGGATAGCGGCCGCGTGCTCTTCTCCCATCGTGGCAGAAATCGTGTAATCGCCCGTATCCATAGTGCTGGCCACCGACTTGCCGCACCTCACCGTGGTGATAGAAACCGCGGCCTTGCACGATCCCGCAGCGCCAGATGGCGACGTTGTGCTCACCTCCGTCGTGAAGGACCTCGTGGTAGCGCTCGATTCCATGGCTTTGAAAAACGATGTAGCGCTCGACTTCGTCGTGGCGGATGCTGGGGTAAAGCTCGACTCCAGAGTGCAAGATGCCGAAGTAAGATCATGGAAGTAAGATCATGGAAGTCAGATCAATTGGAAGATCTATGGAGTAACTTGAAGCATTGGCGCGACATCAAGTCTTCGGTAAACAACACTAAAAGAAAGAGCCGAGTACAATCACCTTCAGAAGACGAATTTGCAGTGTTTCTCGGAAGACTATTTGCTGGAGCGCCGCCTGCGCCGGAGAAGCCGCGAGTTCTCACGGAGGCGCCGTTCTCTATGGAAGAACTGTACTGACTCTGCGATGGGAAGAATGAAGGCGAACCGAGCGTCGGACGACATTGGTCTGGCATCAGAACTTCTGCGTGCTTCCCCAGCCACTTTCAGAGCACATGTGTCAACGTTGCACAACGAAGTATTATCGGAAGGACTTGCCCAGGATAGCTGGCGACGGACACTCTTCCAGATGCTTTCAAAGATCAAAGGCTGCAAGCGTCTCCGACTATAGACCCATCGCCACCGTGCGGATGATGTACAAACTATTCGCATACGTCTTGTTGGGCCGCTTGGACAACACATTGGACAAACACCTGCCTGAAGAACAGCACGCGTTCTGGGCCGACTACCGCATCGCGGAGAACCTTTTGACAGCAAAGATGCTCATTGACAAGACTCGGTCAGTGGGGATTCCCGTCTGGATTGTGAGTCTGGACTTATCGAAGGCTTTTGACCGCGTGGATTGGTCTTCCCTGTGGTCTGCGTTACGCGAATACGGTGTATCCGATCATCTTGTCTGGATATTACAAGTATTGCATGACAACCATACCGGGCAGGTTAACAAGGATTCTCAACGAACTGAGCCGTTCAACATCTTAGCTGGAGTTCGACAGGGATGCGTTCTCAGCCCGCACATGTTTTGTTGTTTGCTGGAATGGGCTATGGCACGGTGGCGGCAGAAGTCTGGGACTGAAGGGTTTGATCTACAAGACGGGTTGCGTCATCTGCTGGATTTGCATTTTGCTGACGATCTAATATCCTATGCGAAATCACAAAGAGAGGCTGCGATCCTGCTCTCGTCGCTTGTTGAGAAGTTCGCAGCCGTTGGCTTGAAATTGAATGCCGACAAGACGCTTGCGTTTACAACTCAAGCACAACCACCACAACGGCTACTGCTTCCTTCTGGTTTGGCTATTAAGCGCGTGGCTGCCCACAAATGGTTGGTGTGCATATTGCCGACGAACATGACGAAGCAAAATTTGGACTACCACCTTCAAGCTGCTCCCAAAGCCTTCTACGCAAACCGGTGGATCCTGACAGATCGACTCGTGCCTGTTGCAGCTCGTCTAAAATATTTCCATGCCGTCGTCACTCCGATCGCCTGATTCGCTTCTGGTCACCGCGTGATTTACACAACCGACAGGAGGAAGTTGGACATTACTTGCCGGAAGCTTCTCAGACAAATCGTCGGATCTACGGGTGGCATCGACTGGGCGAGCCCGTGGCATGAGATCTTACATGTTTGGCATGAGCGTGTATGCGAAAAAAAAACAAGACATATTCAGAATATGCTGCGGCCTCATGCGCTACACCGCCAATGTTCGAATTCCGCTGGGTATGTCGCACATATTCCTGCTGATCGTTGGCTATCACGCGTGCTTGAACACTGGTCTTGAACATAATCCAGAAGTGCGATGGAACACTGGTTGTTTTCAAAATGGGGCTCTCACCTTGGCCCCCGCGCGCACTCGCTTTAACGACCTGCACATAGTACAAGACTCCCGTCTGAAACTTCTTGGGGGTGTATGCCCCGACATGAAAAGCCGCGCAACATCTACACAAATGTCTGGGGCTGATGAGACGGGAGCAGAATGGGGAGAAAAGGGGCATGGGGTAGGAAGGAGACTGCGGGATTGTGCGCTTGAGCACCATGCGACAAAGAAAGAACTGCAGCAGCAGACAGCGACGACACGACCAAAAACGAAGGGGGAGGCAGGGAAGGGAGACGCCGGGGAACGGTATGGGGCAAATGGGAGAGGCGGGGGCGGGAGGGGGAGGCGGAGTGGGAGGAAGTTGGGGCGAGGGGATCGGGCAGGAGCCGGGGAACCCAGGGACGGGGGCCCCGGCCCACGGGCCCTCGCCACTGCCCCTGGGCGCTCCCAGTTGTTCGACCGCAGCAGCTCGCTGGCCTGGCGTCCCCCCCGAGGGCTCTGCGCGGCGGAGCGGGGCGAGGGCGCTCGCTCCCACGCGCCCCCCCGATCCCCCACCCCCGCCCCCTGTGCCCCCTCCTTCCTCTCATCCCCTGCCCGTCCTCCCTATCGCTCTCCAGCTCGGTAGCGCCCGCGCCATGGCGAAGCCAGAGCACGTGGCCCCCCGGGGCCCTCTTAGCCTGGTCACACTGTGGAGGTACCAATCATGCGGGACCGATGCGTGTCACACCCCTCAAGCCAACGCGCGTGCGCGCGCTCGCGCGCCATGGTTCCGAAAGGTTCCCGTCGTGCGGCCCTTGCACCACGGCAGCCCACGACACCAGGCCTCCAAGAGGCCCCCTTAACGGATCGACTGGGCGCCAATATCAGTCGCAAGGAAGCCTGCGCCGCCGCACACCAGAGCAGCGCTGGCGTCGACCGATCAGTCGCTGCATACAACAAACTCGATCACAAGCGTCGAACCGACCCCGGTACCACTTACCAGCAACAACGCTGCTCCGACCGACGTCGGCTCAGGGGCGAGCTAATGCGACTGCGCGGGAGCAGCAACATCATCTACACTGTGCTGCATTACGCCCCGCACACTCAACAGGAGCTGAGACCGTGCCCTACCAGGGCCCAAAGCCCACGCCGACGCCCACCGGGGTAAGGGCAAGGCCACTTTTCATCAGCCTGGATTCGCAGCACTGCGACGTCCCTGTGGCCACCGCGCCCGAGAGCGAGGGCGACAGGACGTCGCACACCAACAGCATCTCGACACGCACGCCAGAGGAAGGCGACAGCCTGCTACAAAGGGCCGAACTCAAACCACACCTCTACCGCTCGCAGCCTGGACCTATCAGCACCGATTACCGGCGACGTGAGGCCCTCATCCCAATGCTCCGCCGCACGGCCACAACTACCAAACCGATGCCAGGACGCGCTCAAGGGACCATCTAACAGCTCGGACAGGAAGACGCTAAATGCCTCCAGAACTTCGCCCAAGTCACTTTCGACCCAACTGGAAACACAGTCTGGATCGGCGCCGCTGTCTGCGAAGCTGGCGCTATCGCTGTCACAGCTGCGCCCGAGGAACTGTTCGCGACACAGTGCCCATGCGCGGCGCTTACTCATGGCGACTGCTTTCCAGGGGGGGCACAGGCACGGCACAGCTGAAGGCGACGGAACACCAGAAGTCAGCGAAGGGAGACGCCGCTCGCAAGCCGCTCGACGACGACCTCATGGACGCAGTCGCAGCCGCGTTTCCGCCCCACTTCCGCACTGCAAAAACTACAAGAAAGTCATGACAGCTCCTAGGGCGCCACGGCTCCGTTGCCCAAGGGCGCAGACTCACGGCCACTCTCGGGATAGAGCCAGCTGACGCCCCACTGGTCCTCTCCAAGTCTGGGCAAGGAGGCATCCAGTTCGACATGACCAGCCCTGGCACGAAAAGGGCCCCCGCCCAGCGATTACATCAGTGCGCGTAGCCCAGATGGAAGCCCCGCAACAAAATGCGCACAGCACCTCCGAAGCACAGAGTGCACGGTGCAGTCCGGGCGGACAACAGGAGTGGGCATCAGAGTCAGGCCCGACGCCAAGGACGCGAAGCAAGTCGCCCTCGAGCCACGGAGAACTGACGCCGCGGTCAGCAGAACGAAGCACCGCATCACAAGGACTGAGCCGCAGAAAGCCGCCGAGACACACACACACACAGACACACACACACACATACCGCCATGGCCCCCTCACCTGCTGCGTGGCACTGCGAAATCCAACACACAGGGTGGGACATAACGACCAGGGGCGACTGCGTGCCTCCAAGCACTGCTGACACCCCAGCTGGACCTAAAAGCGCCACTGCCCACGATCACCCAGCCACCGAGGAAAAAGCTGCGAGTGACAGCGCGCAGGGGTGGCGCCAGCGGGCTGACAGCACCAGCAAGCACACTAATGGCACCAAAGAGGGGCCCAACGTTACACCTTACCAAGGCCCCCTCGCCGTAGAAGACGCAGGCGACTGCGATATGGAAGGTAAGGCCATCTAAAAGTTAGTAAAAAAAAAAAAGTGTCCCACCCCTGACAATGTCCGCACAGTAGGAGGATATGGGCTGCGAGGATCTGCGCGACAAGAAGTGCCTGCCGAAACCAAACGTTCAAGATATGTCCGCCCAAGCTGATTCAAGGTCCGAGACCTGGTTGCCGACCTGCAGAAGCTAACCGACACCGTGGAACGAAATGACTGTTACCAGCGTGGCTAGCAGTCATGCCACCCTCGCTCAGCAATGCCAGCCGGATCGAGCAAGAAACCCACGCGGTCCAATCCGAACGAACCAGCCTGAACACGGACGTGAAGGCCTCCATGAATCAAATAGCACCTCTCGTGTCGCTGGCCTCAGCGCAAAAGACCCAACCTACCCTGGCCACAAGCCCCCCTTGGACTGGCCAGCGAGTCCAGTTCAGTAGGTGACCC